TAAGTGTTTGTTCGTGTCTCCTCTTTGTAAGTGACCACTCTAGTGCATATACACAGTTACGCTATCGGTACAGGTGTTATTTCTTTTTCTCTACAGTCAGGACTTACTCTTAAGCGCAATAATTTACCAAAGAAATTCACCTAGTTGCGTAAATAATTTGGTGTATGGATATTCAGTTAATATCTCCTTGCAGTGATGCAAAGTTTCTGAGATCTGTCTTAAGTGGGTTTTGCATTTAGACGGCCACTCTTGTCTGATAAAATTACTGTTCTAGCAGCTTCAAATTTATTTTTAGTCTCTGATTCATCAATAATTGAAACTCATGGCTTCACTTACCATTAATCAGTTCAAAGCTATGTCGACAATGAATCATCACAGGTCCGATCGAAGAAGGAATTTTCTGGTGTGTGCTGAGGCTGAACCGACATTACAACTCAACTTTCAAAAGCATCAACTTATAAAAATTTATCAGGAAGTGGTAATGGTAAGTGGTAATCATGTTAGTGCTCGCTTCTTTCATAAGCAAATTGTGTGCTCCAAATTTCAAAATCTTCTCACCTGCATGTATATTTGAAGAGGAATATGACAGGATATGTAGCAGGCTACACTTCATCTATGAATAATATGTAAATTTGTCTCAAGTGCATTCTAAGGAAACTTCCAGAATTTAAGTATTTCCTGCAGCAACAAGGCTCATCACATTTCATGGAATGAAGTGATCAAAACTACTTACGTACCTACAGCTTGGTCACTTTCATGTCTTTCTAGAGTGAAGAAAATATTTTTTTTTCTCTTTTTAAGAATTCAGGGTTAGTCAAACCTGTCCAACAAAAATTTTAATAAAATGCCTTTGTTCAAAACCACCTAAGAATCATTTCAATGGTAAAGTTGCCCACGATTCTTGTTGAAAGTCCGAAAGTCGGCTGGTTCACAGAATTTCTCAGGTACAGACGGATGGAAGGATTTTGAAAAGACATGGAATTACATCCTCTCATAAGAATAAGTCAGGAACACGGTTAAGGTTATCTGGGGATGACATTTGTAACATTTCGTTGCATGATTTTATAATCGAAGAGAAACAGAAAGTCTGAAACTTTGTAAATCTACGTAAGTGGTTTATAGTTAGGCCATGACATTGATATGCTCGTTTTATTATTAATTATTCTCCACAAAGTTAAGAATACTTACAAAAACTGTTCCAGAATAGATGCAAATGTAACCTTGTGGTATCTAAGTAACTTTACATATCTTACCTCTTGAACTACCATAGCGGCCCGATTAATGAAACTATGTCAGCCCAACATGAAAAGACATAGCCCTATCTTAACCGTGCAATATATCAAAATTTGATGTCTTGTCGGGTTGCATTAAACTTTCAATAATCGGCCTGCTGATGAGTTGCAAAATATTTCCACCTCCCGACAAATGGTCATGTCTTGGTTGATGCTTTCGAAAGTTGAGTTGTGATGTCGATTCAGCCTCAGCAGACACCAGAAAATTCCTTCTTCGATCGGACCTGTGATGATTCATTGTCGAAATAGCTTTGAACTGATTAATGGTAAGTGAAGCCATGAGTTTCAATTATTGATGAATCAGAGACTAAAAATAAATTTGAAGCTGCTAGAACAGTAATTTTATCAGACAAGAGTGGCCGTCTAAATGCAAAACCCACTTTAGACAGATCTCAGAAACTTTGCATCACTGCAAGGAGATATTAACTGAATATCCATACACCAAATTATTTACGCAACTAGGTGAATTTCTTTGGTAAATTATTGCGCTTAAGAGTAAGTCCTGACTGTAGAGAAAAAGAAATTACACCTGTACCGATAGCGTAACTGTGTATATGCACTAGAGTGGTCACTTACAAAGAGCAGACACAAACAAACCCTTATGACAAACATCGAACATGAGAACAGAACTGGATTAAGTAACTGTAGTCTCTAATTTAGTTCTAAACTGCGAATTTGAAGAACCCACAGATTAGTCCAGATCGCTAACATCGGCGGAAGAGCGTGAGTAGTTTTGTGAGCGCCATTGGCGGGAAAATCTATGGGCATTTAAAACTAGGAACCAAAACTGAAATTTTGGCTATTTTCAGCAGATTTTCGGCGGGAGAACACTTCTTTTTCAGATTTTTGTGAGATGAAACGTTCCGAAGAATTCAAGAATTAGTTTCTCAGTAGAATTTATGTGGTTCAATATTTCCAGATTAAAAGATGCAGCACTTTCCCCCTTAATTTGAAATGTTTATCTCTCATCTATTCTGGATGAATCAATCTTCACCGTCAGATTATATATCATATTTTTGAAGTTTAAAGCCTCAGAAACCGAAAATTAAAGCAAAATCCTAGTTTAATGAGACTTTTGGTTCCTAGTTTTGAATTCCTGCCAGGCCCCCATGAGAGCAGTTAATTTGCTACCAACTGTTGTAAGAATATTGAAACAGAATACTTAGCATTACAGTACTTGATAAAATCTTATGTGATCAAAAACCATTATTACACATTACTATTTATATTTTATTAAAGCTTTATAATCAGATTCAAGAGGAAATTTCTCTCGCTCCATTCAAGTTCTTTCACTACTGGTAGTGCCATCAATTTTCTAAAGTTGCCTAACCTGTAGCAAAATTACTCACGCTTTCTAAGCATTGGCTAGATTGGACGTTAGCGATCTGGACTAATCTGTGGAAGAACCTTAAGACACACCTCAGATGTGTAATCACCTGGTTCGGGCCAGAGAAACCTTGAACTACATGAGATCATATTGGAGAAGTTTGAGAGGTCAAAAGGCTGTTATACTAAATAATTGGTGAACTTCCAAGTCTTGAATGAATTTAGGACCACATACTTAAGACAAAGAAACTGCAAAATATTTGATTTGAGACGAAAATGAAAAGAGAATGGTCAAAAAAAAAGAATGTCTGGGTTTGGACATTGGACTTGTAAAACTGATTTTCAGAATGCACTTTAAAATGAGCCGATAGGCCGTGGCTTCAGGTTGTAAAATACGATGAATATTATTGCCAAACGCTTGGTTGAAGTCGAACATGGATTTAAATTAATTAAAATTAAGAAATTTCAAGTTGATTCGTGTTATCAATCTTCGTTTGTTTACGACCCACGCGCGGCAGAGGCATGCAGAGGTACCTTGCCGGTACGCTAGGTCAAAAGTTTGGCCATCGCCGGACGGATAGAATGGGCGCCATTTTGAGATGGCCCAGGCGGCGCGCGTTTAAATGGGAGCTCAAAATACGGACTTTTGAACTCGTATTTCGTGGGGTAATATTGCTCAAAACAATCGGGGAAAGTTCCTGTGAACTATGTGCACTCTCTAGTTTACAGAAATGCCAGAATTACGAATTACTGAACAAGTTCATTGGTCAGGGCGCCTAGCTGAGATTGAAACCATAGCACCAGCGCCACAAACTTTTCATCATGGGAAACTGACAAACTTTAACTTAGAACTGCATACTTCTACCTATCTTTTTCAACTTCCTAACAATTTAACTTGGAAAAATTATACTTTTGAAGGTTTTGTGGTATATAATGCATTTATTTTATATTATTCAATCTTGCTTGTGCAAGACTAGGCCAGTAATGTTCGGGGAGCTTGTTATTGGTACCTAGCCCTCAAGCGTGCATTGACTCGAGAGTCAGCCACAAAATTTGTGAAAGAGAACTGAAATTTTACAAGCTACTATATACATTCTTTATGTTGGTACCCTTGAAGGGTATCCTTCCCAGGTTCGTGTGTGCCTCACTACTATTCTTTAATAGTAGCGTCTATTCTCAAATTGCAGCAAGTGCATTTGTTATCATGTGGCAAAAACAGGAGGAGACCTAACTTTCAACTTTCTTGAACCCTTTATTAAGCTGAAAATCTTAGAAATTGAGTTGGTCTCCCAAATGATTGATAGGGAGGTGAAATTTGCCTCATAAAACTTAAATTAGGCACTTTAAATTTTTCACGAAGTTCAATCTGCTCTTTTATTGTACACAATCTCCCCTTTACTCAAGGAGACCAGTGAGTCATGTGCACTTCCCTGGCACTTATGGTGTCATCCTTTTGTTTTTTTTTGAAGCTGATGAGGTCTTTTTAAGTTTTACAAGATTATTATTTTTAGCTATCATGTTGTAATATCAGAAACAATTGTTCTCATCTATCCCAATTTTAAAAGTTTAGGGCGCATGAATTATAGAGAGTGAGAAAGTGCCAAAAACTTAAAAGCCTAACATAAGGAACGTGGAAATATAAGGAATCTTGGTGGCTATCAGCTGTAAATGGCCAGTGAGCGCCTCACAAGCTAGTTGCATGTTTATACCGGCAACCTGGTCTGCCGTCGGTTTTTTAAAGGTTCTGTTGCTCAGTTAACAAAAAAAAAAACCTCAAAAGTGTGGCCAGAAGACTTTGAGTAACAGAATGGTAGAATAGTTGTGGGTCCACATTATTTTAAGAAGAATCTCTTTACTTATGAATAACAAAATAGAATTGTAGTCACCTAATGAACTCCATAGAGTCTTATTTCAGAGCGAAACTAAGAGGAGGAAGTTCAACCAAGGCAGGTACATTGGAATACTCAGCCGAGGTCCTGTAGTAAGACTTGGACTGGTTTCATTATTCTTTGAGCTCGTCAGTAAGCCACACTTAATTACAGATCACAACAGCAACATTCAGTATCCTGCAACATCCTAGACAGTAATAAAAAGCTACCATCGATTCAATGCAACGCATGGCCAAAGAGCAATCTTTGATCCTATAATTCTAATATCAATTATTTCTGGCTTTGATTTTCCGTTAAGGTAGTGTGGATCCAGCACTCTTCTACCATTCTATCACTCATCAATCTGTGAGCCGTTATTTTTCATTTTCTTCTTTTATCTTTAGGCGGCGTACAGTTTTAATTCAACTGTTGTTATCAATTCATGAATCTGTACATTCGTAAGGTGTTTTAATTTTATCTGTCATCGCCTCTCCCTGTTTTTCTTAATATTTAGTGGCTGGCTATCTGAAAGAACTGATAAAGAAAACAGGCATTAATATTCAAGTAGGTCTTGTTCAGACAGCTTATGCAAATGGCAGCTCCACAAAGTATGCCATTGAAAAATTGGTGAGTAAATTCATTCCTTTTGCCTGTATGCAAGTGGTTTTTTTTTTTTTTTTTTTTTTTTTTTTTTTTTTATGTAAAAGAGCTGCTAGAGCTGTTCTAACCATAGCTCTTTTGATATTCAGTAAATGATTTTAGTCCAAGAGCCAGCACCAAATTATCTAACCGGAGAGTATAAGAATTTTCATATACATTCTTAGATCGGGACACTCGAGTGTAGCAAGGATTGGGCAGTCTGGCTGGTCATAGCCGCTGGGTTCAAAATTTGAGACCCATCAAATTTCCGAAAAATTGCGTAAAATTTAACCGGAAAGTATTACATATAGTTGGTTTTAGTCTCATATTGTAGGGGTGACTTCCCTGATTAGATATTACCTTGCCAGACCGTCGAACTCCGCTGGGAAAGGGTTGCCAGACCGCCCGAAAGTTGCTAAAATCGACCTTTTCTGCCTCATGTGAATGCACAATAGTCCATAGCCAACCTATCCCAAAATAGGGGTTTACCTTCCACATTCTGGAAAAAAATCTCTAGCATATGTATCCTATGTGTTTTTTAGCGCTAAGTTCGAATCTGAACTTTGCTACCTTCGATTTTTGCCGCTAAAGCCGCCATCTTGAAAAAACGTTGCCAAATCTCATTTTTGTCCAAGAATCGGTAATAACTCGTTCCCTGTGCGTCGGACGACAAATAAAGTTCTACAAAGCGAAAGTACGTTAAATTTTAATTTTGAAGCATGCATCAAAGTTTTAATACAATGCATGTACCGTTGTACCGTCCACCAGAGCGCGCTGAAAACCGCGGGAAATTTGAAAAAATTGTCATTTTTGGCGTCTTTCCTTAACACCTTTTTTTCTGGGCGATTTTTCGGCGAAAATGGTCGTGGAAAAGTGAAGTCAGCGAAAAATGCTACAAGAAAGACTCTCAATTTTTGGACTAATGACTGTTTTTACAGAAGTTAGTCCAGCGCTTGAAGTCGAAGACTCCAACGGCCGAAATCGGCGTCAACGCTGGATCACGGTTCTGTCATATTATAAGGATTGTACTTAATATGGTTTCATGACGTATTATTTTAGCTTTGAGGCATTGAATCTCGCTGTGAACATTAAAGTTAGAGGTTTCAATTCACCCAGTATGGCATCCCTCTCTAGATCCCTGCTCTGCCCCTATTCCCGCAGGTCTCACAAAATTATGATGGGGCACTTTCCTCTCAGGGTCTAAATTTTTTCGATCCCGGGGGAAAAAGAGTTGAAGTCGCCTAGCCATCATTTCAGCATTATTATTAAGAATGTTAAGTTTTAGTCAAATCAAATTTGGAAATATTTTCTTCACGGGAGTAGCATATCCGATCTTTACAAAGAAATTCAACACATGATCAGCTACGCACGCTTGAAGTTATCAGGATATTTGAACCTGGCACTCTTCTCAGCATGTTGGAAGCTGAATGAAATGATTAAAAACTCCGCATTTTGGCTTGGGCTCTCCAAGTTTGAGCTTTGGGTTCCAAAGCTTGTAGGGACGCAGAAACTTTTAATATTGGAGTTTGTAGGGAGGAGTATGTCCCCGAAACAGGGTTATCATCGACGTCTTTAAAATCAATTTGTACGGCCTCTGAATCGTCGAATTCTGCTACTTCCGCTTTGAGTGAGAAATCCTCCTGCATGGATTTTTCCATACATTTCCGCACAAAACTGTGCACCCTTAAGTGCACACGTGTGCAGCTTTTGCTCTGAAAGGTTATAAAAACTCCGAAGAAACTTCGCTGAATAATGATGGTATGAAGCCTGGTAAAAACGGCAATCCAAAATTTGACTCGTTGCCTTGCTCTTCGGAGGAAGCCCAAAAACACTCTTTTAGGACGAACCCGCAAGTTTAGATTAAATAAGTCTGCGTGCCAACAAAGAATTACTTGTCGCCGATACTTAGTAGGGAAGAAGCCTAAACCGGAGGAGCTGATAAAAATAATTTCCTGCAAATCTCAAATGCTGCTGCCAAACAGATTATGCGACAGTTGACCGCTGGGTATAAGAAAACGGCCTTATTCGGTGCACATATTTGTATTAATGAAACAAAGACATGTGTACACAGGTAGCCGCAGGCAGCCCAAAACAGAAATAGCATAAAGAAAACAAAGGACACGGCGGGAATGAGGCTATAATATACATAAAAATGCACGGGACTTTTCGGTGTCTCATGACACCATCATCAACCGTGAAAAAGTACCAAAATAAAAAAAAAGAAATTAAAATCAAAAGAAACAAGCACGGCGTTACATGGTGATGGTACTTGTCTCAGTATGTTGACCATCATCATGTAATGCCATGCTGGTTTCTTTTGATTTTAATTTCTATTTTATTTTTGTACTTTTCAGCGATTGGTAATGGTGTCGTGAGACACAAAAACGCCCCGAGTATTTTACTGAATATTATCTTCGTATTTATGTTGCTGTGATTTCTGTGAAAGTATCTTGAGGGAGGATTCCTCCCAAGAAAAAGAGGTAAAAACATTGACGGCCCAGGTACCTGAAATATTCGAAAACCTGAAGATAACCCTGTTCCGGACTTCGCGAACAGGGTCAGAGGGACCTGAAAATTAAAGTTTGCAGGAACTTCAATGTTCAGGCTCCTGTGACCCTGTTCGCAAAGTTTGGAACCTCAGATATTAAAATTGGTTCGACTGATAATTCACATTCCTAATAATGATGCTGAAATGATGGTTAGGCGACTTCAACTGTTTCTCCCCCGGGATCGAAAAAATTTAGACCCTGAGAGGAAAGTGCCCCATCATAATTTTGCGAGACCTGCGGGAATAGGGGCAGAGCAGGGATCTAGAAAGGGATGCCATACTGGGTGAATTGAAACCTCTAACTTTAATGTTCACAGCGAGATTCAATGCCTCAAAGCTAAAATAATACGTCATGAAACCATATTAAGTACAATCCTTATAATATGACAGAACCGTGATCCAGCGTTGACGCCGATTTCGGCCGTTGGAGTCTTCGACTTCAAGCGCTGGACTAACTTCTGTAAAAACAGTCATTAGTCCAAAAATTGAGAGTCTTTCTTGTAGCATTTTTCGCTGACTTCACTTTTCCACGACCATTTTCGCCGAAAAATCGCCCAGAAAAAAAGGTGTTAAGGAAAGACGCCAAAAATGACAATTTTTTCAAATTTCCCGCGGTTTTCAGCGCGCTCTGGTGGACGGTACAACGGTACATGCATTGTATTAAAACTTTGATGCATGCTTCAAAATTAAAATTTAACGTACTTTCGCTTTGTAGAACTTTATTTGTCGTCCGACGCACAGGGAACGAGTTATTACCGATTCTTGGACAAAAATGAGATTTGGCAACGTTTTTTCAAGATGGCGGCTTTAGCGGCAAAAATCGAAGGTAGCAAAGTTCAGATTCGAACTTAGCGCTAAAAAACACATAGGATACATATGCTAGAGATTTTTTTCCAGAATGTGGAAGGTAAACCCCTATTTTGGGATAGGTTGGCTATGGACTATTGTGCATTCACATGAGGCAGAAAAGGTCGATTTTAGCAACTTTCGGGCGGTCTGGCAACCCTTTCCCAGCGGAGTTCGACGGTCTGGCAAGGTAATATCTAATCAGGGAAGTCACCCCTACAATATGAGACTAAAACCAACTATATGTAATACTTTCCGGTTAAATTTTACGCAATTTTTCGGAAATTTGATGGGTCTCAAATTTTGAACCCAGCGGCTATGACCAGCCAGACTGCCCAATCCTTGCTACACTCGAGTGTCCCGATCTAAGAATGTATATGAAAATTCTTATACTCTCCGGTTAGATAATTCGGTGCTGCCTCTCGGTCTATTAAGTCCAACGTATGTAATAAACAGGAAATCAAGAGTGACAAAGGAAGAAGTCGCTTCAACTTTTGCAATGTAAACACTGTTCGGAAATCCAATGAATGAATAAATGCTCCTAATATCCAACCACTGTAACTGTAAGTAACTGTAACTATAACTTAACTGTAAAGATCACATGCGCGGATACGTCAAAGGGTTACGTGCAAAACGGGCCATTCGGGGCTCAGGGGGGATACCTTTGAGACTTGCCCTATTCATTCACCAAACAATGCCCCATCTTCTCCCAAAGTTTCAAGTTCCCAAAAATTTTGGGGTGACACGGCGGGGGGTCAAAGTTACAAACCGGCAAAATTTTCGCGAATTTATCACTCAAAAACCAAGAAGTATTGAAAAACGCGGTTTCGACGAGTGCTTTCAGGGTGACGAGAGCTTTCAGAAAATGTATAATATCATAGAGTTTTGTCAACTTCAGCTTGATGTTATCGCCTCCGAAGCGGCGGAACGCTGAAAGAAGATCCCATTTTTTTCACGTATGGGTCGATTTTAAAAGAAGCCATTTTTTTATTTTGATGAAAAACTTATATATATTTCCTGACTCTCTTTAGCCCTTCTAGCTTTTTACCGCATGCTGGGGAAATGTTTTGGTCGCGAGTTATAAGAGCGGAAAGGAGCGAAGGTCGGGAAAATCGGCTATTTTAAACTGCGCGCGCGGCGTTGATCGGAAGGAAAACGTCCCCTCCCACTCAGTTCGGCGAATCACACTCCTCTGCCGACCTCGCATTGTTACCACATGTCTCCTGATCTGTCGCCACGCGCAGTTTAAAATAGCCGATTTTCCCGACCTTCGCTCCTTTCCGCTCTTATAACTCGCGACCAAAACATTTCCCCAGCATGCGATAAGAAGCTACAGGGGCTACAGAGAGTCAGGGAGAACATATCAGTTTTTCATCAAAATAAAAAAGTGGCTTCCTTTGAAATCGGCCCGGACGTGAAAAAAATGGGGTCTTCTTTTGGCGTTCCGAAGCTTCGGAGGCGATAACTCGAGCTGCAGTCGCCTAAACCCTGCGATGTTATACATTTTCTGAAAGCTCACGCTGGAAACGCTCGTTGAAACCGCGTGTTTCAAAACTTCTCGTTTTTCGAGTAACAAATTTGCGAAAATGTTGCT